CATTTTTATCTGAATTACCCCATGTTGAATAATTCAGATCAACAAGCCAAGATCTCGAATGCAAGTTTCAAGAATTCAAGTTCTTGATTTCTGGGTGTTTTTTCCAAGATTTCATGATATTTTCTAACCCAAGCTCTTGGATAGAAGTTTTACTAGGATATCTTCTGTCTTACTGCTACACTCTTTTCGTATATACACATTTATGTATGTACTGGTCGCTACACTCGATGTTGCAAAATCGATTTAGTCTTTTGAAATTATTTTTGGAAAACTAAAGTTTTTTTATCAATATAAAGTGCTTTTTGGAGGAAGCACTTTGTTTTAAACTAAATATTGCTTAATACATCCTTATTGGTTATTCAAAACAAAGTGCTCTAGTTCATTGACCGATAGACTTAATCCCATCCATTCGTTCTTTGTTTGATATAGAATAAAGAGAATAACGGTTAAGTTATATAACATTAGAAAAAAAATCAAGTTATTCGGATTGAGGATGTTCGTAATTAGATAGTAGGTTTTTAGCGTTAAAAAGATGATTTCAGTCGATGACCGCACATTACCACGTTGAAAAACACCCTCCTCCAAACTCAAATTAAGTAATGTAGGAATATCTTAAGAGTTTTAAAGTCAGAGATCAACACGAAAAAAGTCATTAACACTCTAGTCTTCAACAAAAGTCATCTTTTAATGGTCATTGAATTATTGACTGCTGTGAATTGATAATTAAATTAAATTGCAGATAAAATTAGTTATTGTGGTAGCTGTAGTTATGATTGAAATAAAAACTGGCATGCTTAAATATTACCACAGTAAGTTCAGAAAACGGAAGATGATGTTTTTCTTTCTGCTAAGATCTTTTCAGTAGCCGAAAATACAAGATTTTGTAGTTAATGAGTATAATCTCTAATAGGATTAGGACGAGTACTCTCGAACTCATCCTGATGGAGTCTTCAGTGTGAATCAAACCAGTTGATGAAGTTTTATTCCATACAAGTTCACACATGAGTGTTTTTCCCATACTCATAGTCGAGCATGCTCGATGTTGTGTACAGGTGCGATTGAATATATTATGTTTCTTTTGATTTAATTCTAGGAGGTTTGTTAAACAAAAAATGGAAATTGTACCGATTTGTTTTATATAGTACGAGTTATTTGGAATGGTATTCCGATGTAAAACATAAAAAACCAGATGGCTCTGTTTTGTTACAAGTGAGCGTTCACAGGTGTTTGTTTTATCCGTTACGATATAAATTTTGTTCGTTTTAGAATGTTGCGCATTACATTTGTGTTGGTCCTTATACGAAGTAAATAAAAGTTCATATGTAAGGGGCGAGTATTGAATTTTTGCTTTGTTTTAAGGTGTTTACCAGAATTTCCTCATCTCGACGATATATGTGATCAAGTTTGTTTAATTGCATTTCCGAAGACAATTGAAAATCGTGACAAAGATATTGTTTGGTTGTTATGCCAAGATATGAATGAATTAAAGTATGTGATTGAGACAGAAAATCTCACTTTTACTCCCCCTATGACATACAACGTGGTATTGCGTAGATAACAAACAATTCAAGAAACAGTAATCAGATCACTTTTAATGCGCTCTATAGTAAATTAATAATGAGGTGAAATTTCTTGTTTGACTGAGTTACTCGAGTTTCAGTTGTTATCATTATAGTTAAATCTGTAATTGATTGTTGAACATTTCATTGAAGTGATGGTGTCTTTTCTTCATTTTAGTGACTGGATGAAACACATTGTTCAAACGGTATGTTCAAGCACTTTTGTTTATTTATTATTCTTGGTCTTTGTTTAGCTACCTGCTCGTCAGTTACAACTACCAGCTGATAAAATTATAAAAGCTTCTACGCTATCTGCACCGACAACGACGATTCTCACACAAACTTCATCGATAGATGATAATCAAGTGGTTCAACAAACATGTACGTCTTGTAAAAATCATTACTTTTTACTATTACAGACGAGGGTATTTGTAAAATAATGCTAACACGTACTAACAGTCCAGAATTAAAATCTGATACAGTCAATAGATCCAGTTCGTGGAGCTGATTATACTGCCATAGAATAATATCCAGATGGCTAGTTAATAACCAATATTAACAGTTACTAAAACCCAAAAACGTCACCAGTCACACGTTACTCGACTCTCAATGTTGGATTACGTTTATATTTATTAAATTATAAAGTTAGAAAATATCAGAGAATATTAGAATAAGTTAGAAAGTATTAGAGAATGCCGATGACTGTTAGTGATCAGATTTTGACTGATAGTACCGGTTATTAAGTATCCATCTGGATATTATTCGATGGTAGTATAATTAGCTTCACGAACTTGATCTATTGGCTGTATCATATTTTAATTCTAGCCTGTTAGTCGGTGTTAGCGTTATTTTACAAATACTCTGACAAAAGATGAAGGATATTCTCTTTTAGCTTTTCATAGCAATTCAGTATTAAACAGTGGCGCTACATTACCCTTAGCAGCCACTCTGTTTTCGAATTTGTCACAAGGGCACACAGTGCGCAACCAAGAACAAATTCAATCATCGGTCTCTGTTCCTGAAACTCCAAAAAGTCCTCCAGATGAAATGGGCTATGATTGGACATCTCCCTATGGTCAAGGTGACGCTTGGGGTCATTATTCATTAGGATATGCGGGTATCGGTGGTTCCGGCTGCCATTCAAATAATTTACATATGCTACGACGTGACGAAGATGATGAGCTAATTAATCATGTTGAAAAAGAACACAAAGAGGAGAGTGAAGATGATAAAAAAGAGAAACACCATTATCACGGTCAAAATATTGATTATGGAGATATAAAACGTGAGCTTGAAGAACATGAAATAGAAATGGAAACAAAGTGCGACGAAGTGCCTTGGTGAGATAATGAGTCTAGGATAATGAAATAAACCATTGTTTTTTATGTAAATAAAAGTAGCATTATGCAATCAAAATTTTTATTAGATATTGTATGAAATTCATTGAGATGGAGGTGAATGACTTATAAATACTGTATCAAGTAGGTCGTTTCTATATTTCAGTTAAATATTAAATTTATTATACTGTTAGCTATTTACTCAATCATTCGTCAATTTTTGAGAAAAAATATGTTGTTTATCGTTCTGTTGAGCGTTATGTTTTAAGAAGAATTTTTCGAATAGGAACAAAATTGTTAAAACAACAATAAGCATTTATTAGCTGTGAGTATTTTCGAAATTATTCCAGTTACTTTTTGTCGAAATTTGTAAAATATATTTGCTAATGCAAATTAGTTAATTAGACGAATTTAGCACCGATGTATGATAGAGCTTTTTAGTCAATTATGTGTTCTATATTAACTGTCGTAGTACGAACAAACGGAGGGCTGCGCGATTACAATTACAAAATGTAAAGTTCATACATTGCCATTATCTGTAGAATTAAGAATTCTAGAATTCTGAACTTTACATACATGTAAAGTTGCATGTTCACGCTCACTCTCACACCCACACTCACCCCTTGAATTAAGAATTTTAGAATTCTGAACAAGTAAAGTTCAACTTTACATACATGTAAAGTTCAGAATTCTAAAATTCTTAATTCTACAAGTAATAGCAATGTTTGAACTTTACATTTTGTAATTGTAATCGCGCACGTCTGAACAAACGATAAATACAACATGTTAACTGTGTAAAAAGTCACGAAGATAATATTTACAAACGCTTAAGAAAGGAATATCCATTTCAAGTGAACAATCAAACGGTGTTCTTACTTGATGGATAATTTGTTTTTCGTTATCACACTTAACTGAAAATAATGAATTATTTTCAAAAATAATTTCATTTCAATTATAAATCAGTGAAATAAGTTAGACAACGTTCATTTGATTGCATTTGTTTGCCACCATTTAATCGGATTAAAAATTTGAAAAAATATGTGTACCGTTGGATGCATATCCAGAATAATTGTGATCATATCATAAAATGGATATTCATCTCATATATATGAATATAAAATGTGCTTATTTATTAGATTACTACTGACCTCCGATTCGTCCATTCTCAGAGGGTTCTCTATCTTACCCTCTTTTCGATTCATTTTCTTCTTTTCCTCTTATTTCTGAAACCTTAACAATGATTGCTAAAATTTTGTGAAAAGATGGAAAAAGGTTCGATGTTCGTGTTACATCGTGATCACTAATTTTTATCTCGTTTACTATTAAATGAAGCGTAAAATGATCGATGAACCTTGATTTAATGCAATTTTGATAATGTTTAACGTCACACAACGAAATTCTTGTGTTTTCTTTATTCTCTCTAGTATATTTGTAGATAAAAAAAGTTAGAAATATTCATTGTTGCTCTTTGTATTAAAAAAAAGTGAACATCTTTCCGGTCGGCAAAAATTTTCCATACAGTTGATAAAATTTTTTTATTACGTTGTCCAAGCACTGATAATATATGAAAAACACATCAATCGATAGAAGAGAGCGTGGACTACGTTTTGGTAAAAAAATAATTTTGAAAAGCTTTTTTCTCCGGGTAAAAACGTGACTTTAAGTCAAAAGTGTCATACTCCTTAGTATGACTGTTGAATCTCAGGAATGAGCGGGTGAAAAAAAATTCTGATTAAGCCAGTAGAAAGAGCGTCGAAAACTGAGAAAGATAAATATAGTGTGGAAGTTAAGTGGAAGAATTTGTCACTCGAAGTCGAGCAAAACGTTTTCATCTAAAAATAACACCTGGAGATTCACTAAACACCTGAACAAAAGCATTTTTACTAGACTTCGAGTGACACATCACTAAACACAGTTTTTGACCCTGGGCACGAATATGACGTTAGTTTTAATGAAAAATGCTTTTTTGTGGGTGGAAAACTGGTTTTAATGGTCAGAAACCCGTTTTTCCTTCTGAACTGACACAGTATAAATTTCTCCTTTCATACTCGTATACAGTAACTACCTGACTACATGATGACGCAAAAATATCCAAAAAATGTTTACCCTCCTGTGGAGAAAAGATATTTCAAAAATAGCCTCATCCAAAATATTAAAAGATGGGTCAAATTCTTTCACTTAGCTTCCACATTATATTTATCTTACTCAGTTTCCGACGCTCTTTCGACTGGCTTAATCAGAATTTTTTTTCACCCACTCATTCCTGATATTCAGCAGCCATACTGAGGAGTATGACACTTTTGACTTAAAGTCTGAAAAAGCTTTTCAAAACTATTTTTTTACCAAAATGTAGCCCGCGTGCTCTTCTATCGATTGATGTAGTTTTCATATTTTGTCAGCGCTTAAACAGCGTAAAAAAGGATTTTTAGCAACTATATGGAAAATTTTTGCCGTCACTACATCATTGACTTCATGAATAATTCCATGTACTATAAACATCATCTGGTACTTGAAAAATAACTGGCTTCGTAAACGTCCTACTTTTCTATAAAACCGTCCTACTATGTCCTCCTTTCTGGATTTTCTCCTACTTTTCCTACTTTTTTAATTTTCTGTGTTTTTAGTAAATTCACAGGCAAAAAGACATTTTTCTCCTACTTTT